ATACGATTGACCGTACGAGGATGAACACCAGTAAGTTCAGAGATCTGTCGATGTAGACTTGCCAACAGAAGGTGACTTTAACGCCACAATTAAGGTGCGGGTGTAAGGATCAGTATTAGGAGACATTGTAACGATAGATACAGACAAATCGTACAGCTACTCAGCTCAAAGGTGGGAGTTGCGCCAAGAAGAGTTATGCCGAAGCGCCGAGATTAGCGTGGGACAAAACTTTTGTGAGGCACCTCCGTAAGCTTGTGAAACACCGCGACAGGAGCTTAAGGTTTAGTGTAGCTTTAGAGTAAGTAGCTGTGTAGCGTCCACTTACCGTGTACTCTTCCTACTAGAAAATAAATTTCCATCTTGGTCGTCTTGCTGCTGCGCACTGCTTCTCCATACTTACAAGATCAGTCTCACGTCAGCCTTTTCTGCGAGCCAAAAAGGTCTAAACCAGCCTTCTGAAATATCACACCCGGCATGAATCGCAACTCATTACTCAGGCCATGCGCATCACAGTCAACACGAAATCAGCAGTGTGACGAGAAGAGATGCTATTTCCAGACCTAAGCTATCTACCCACTGCCATGGCCCAGATCTGCACATCTCGACTCGCCGTGTCCATGAATTGAATTTGATTCCATCCACATTCCGTCAGTCATGTCGTCGCACCAGATACCGTTGTGTACCGCCCATCAAGCACACCAATCTCCATGGTGAAAGTGGTAGCGAGGCCGCACAATGCCCGTCTAGCACTTGTTGTAGTTGCAGTTGCGCTTGCAGTCGCCGTTGTAGGCCCGGCAAGTGTCGACGCCGCACGTGATGGAGCAACCGTAGGGGTTGTACCAGCATCCGATCGACTATGTAGTTCAAATCAATTAGCATATACACATACCAAACAACCACATCTTGCTCTGTCCGAGGGAAATCACTCACGCCCATGCACTTGGTGAAGAAAGCATCGCACTGCTTGCAGTAGGCGGCAATCGAGGCTGTGTCGACGGCTGCCATGTTGGTCGCCGGAGACTCGTCCTGGGACACGGCAACGGGGCTGCCCATGGCAATGGTGGCCATGGCGCCGAGGATTATGGTGGTGAGCTTCATGGTTGAGGTGTTGAAGTGGAAGTGGAAGTTGAAAGTTTGTATGAGGCTTTGGTTGGTGGGAAGAGTTGAAGTAGTAAAGTGGAAGTGGTTGAGTGTGGTAGAAGAAAGAAAGAGAGAGAGAGAGAGAGTCGGATAGTAGGCAGATACAGATTATATATCCAGTGGATTGCGAGAAGGCGAGGCAGCAAACGCCCGTTCTCTCACTCACTTCGAGTCTGCGCCCCGTGCACCCCGCGAGCGACGTACCAAGTGAGAGAGAGAGAAAAAGCCTCTAGGCAACAACCGCAGTCTTAGATAGTCAGTTTGGCAGTGAACACGGGAGAGTGTGAGAAGAGAACCGCAAGTGAACTGTCGTCAAGAGGCATAAGCTGGAGCCGGCGTGACCGGGTATGCCCTCGAGTCAATCACCTCGACCTTTGGTGACAAGGCACCCTGGCTGACATTGTCTACGGGGGGGGGGGAAACATGGGAAAACAGAGAGTCGCCTCAACGCCCACTTTTTTGCATTGTCCGACGTGGAAATTTCCAAGTCTGGCTTCAGCACTTGCTATGTACTTACTCGGTGATATATAGAAAAAAAATGAAGTGCTTTGCCAGTCTGCTGGAAATTCTACGGCAATTGACTTCGAGATGTTTTCTCGCACATGTGCCAAGTGATGTCTCTGGTCTGATGGGTGTATACACAGTAATTCTCCCAATTGCCAAGTAGACGGCTGCGCTGTCAACGAGTCTCAAGCCGGCGTCTATGCTGCGGTATAATGAGTGGTGAGAATACAGCATAGTGCATCATCTTCATCCACTTGACGCTGTAAAAGATTCAAAGTTTTAACCCGCGCTCGGCTAAAGACTTGCAGCTTGTACAAAGGATCTCCACGGAATGCCATCTTTTAGCTATAACCAAGCACTGACCATTCTCCTGAGTCCCTATTGGTATGGCTTCGTGTAGATCCAACAACTGGGATTCAAAACAACTGTACGTACAAGGAAACGGTTCTTTTGTAGCTGCTGTAGACGTCTGAAGAAGATACTACCCGCGAGTATACACCCATGTCCAGCAATCCTGTTAGGTGGAGTCGGCGTGGGCCGCGGCTTACGAGGAGATACGCCAGAACCCCATGTGGACTGACTGACAAAGCCCATTACCACTCTCGTGGTATCACGAAGACGGGCATTCCAATATCAGAGAAGCAGCCAAGTCGCACGCATCCAGACAATATTCCAAGCGCAGCACACAGTCACGAGACTCCGCCCAGAGCAGCGCCAAAATGCGACATGACAGGAACCACCAACGACACATGACGGGGCGAATCAGACACAATGTATAGAGCCAAATTCCTCTCTACTCAATCACCGACTAGCTACATGCATGTATGCACCACCAAACTCCCCAACTCCCCACTCACAGACCACGAAAACCATGTATGTAATACACCCGTACCTAACCCAATCACACAGCCCGGTATCGACATGCCACGCACTCGCCACAGGCCCCGTGACGAATTCGACCCAAGGTTCGCACAACCCGCATCAACCACTGCAGCCCATGGGCACACACAAAAAAGAAGAAAGCCGGGGATCAAAGCGTATATGTGTGTGTGTGTGTGTGTGAAAGGGAAACGGCCACAGAGGGACTTAGCAAAGGCCGTACCCGCAGTGCTCCTTGCACAAGCTGCTCTGGCGACACGTGTCGGTGCGGCAAGTACCATCGCACGTCGAGCCGCCGTAGTAGCAGTTCTGCAAGCCGAGATTTGTGTGTTAGAGATGGTGATACTGATACCGGCAGGCCATATGCATGTATGTATGTGTGCACCAGGGACAAACAAACTTACAAAGTGGCATTTCTCGTAGTACTTCTTGCAGTCGTGGCAGTTGCGGACTACGAATTTCTTGTCCTTGTCGTTGGCTGCGGCGAGGGCGACGAGGACAGCGAGGACGAGGATGGGGAGCTTCATGTTGAGAGTGATGATGGTGATGATGGTGATGGTGGTGTTGTTGGTGTTGTTGAAGGAAGAAGAAGTTGTGGGTTGAGAGAGAGAGAGAGAGAGAGAGAGAGAGATAGCTGTGGATTGTGGTTGTTGTTGTGGGCGGACAAGTGGGTAGGCTGGGACTGGCGCGGAATATATAGGTTAAGGATAGGTCATGGTGATCAGTGAAGGTGGAGCCTAGCCTGACCCCGAATCGTGTACAAACGCCCAAGGTGAAAGCTGCCGACTGACGCGATGGCCATTTGCTGCCTGCTGGATCGAAGCGTCCAGTGCCTTGCTGCCTGGATGAAACATGCAATTTTTGCAAAGTCGATCGCTATGACATGTCGCAGTACGTTTTTTTTGGCCCGATTTGACAAGACACGTGGGCAGCAGGCCGCTGAATGTGACACTTGGATGCACTTGGGAGAGTATCACCAAGAGATTTTTGCATACTGCACTCGAATACCCTCTGCATTTCCAGCACGACACGCGTCTAAAGCGTCTGTCTCGATTCCTCTCATAAGTACACATTTGTAATTATTCTCTGAAGTACCGTCCATCGCCCGCATAACCACCACATGTCCGCATCTCATCACGCTTGTCTTGGACGACGACGACAACACACCGCATCACCATCATCCATCCAACTTTGCGTATTTGCACGCCGGCAACTGGTCAGGACACTTCTTGCACATGGTATACTGCATGCACGTCTTGATCTGGCACTCGTACGCGCACGGCGCCAGGCCATCCTGGCACAACTGCATACCAATTGTGTTAGTCTGATCAATGTGGCTGCGCAGATATATGCCAGGACACAACCGACCTTTCTGCAAGTGTCGACCTTGAGCCAGCAGTACTGGCATTCGTGGGGGACTTTGTCCCACTCGCTGCGATTGTCTTTGGCGAGGGTGAGAGTGCCCATGGTGGCGACCACGGCGACGAGGAGGGTGGAGAGCCTCATGCTGAGCAAGACAGTGGTGTTGAAGTTGTATTGTTTTGGAATCGAGTGATTTGGTAGTTTGGTGGATGAGTCGGGCGTGTAGTTGGGTTGATGTTGTGGTGGACTTGGACAAACAATGCTCGGGGCGCGACTGCCTGATTGACTGTGAGGAAAGAGCGCGTGTGAGGTCATGGGTTGCGGTGAGTGAGGTGGCACGTGATTCATTCTCTGCTTCTGCGAATATGTGCCAAAAGAACAGCCAAGTGAGTCCAAGAAACACGTGTAGTCAGGTTGAGCAAAAGCCGCAGTGTGCATAGCAAGCTGAGTGGTCCGTCTCAGTATACAATGCAGTTTCAGGACTGCACTGCTTGTTCTTTATTAATCACTAACTCTAGCTCGAGGTACATCAATACACAGCAGCCATCACAACTTCATGTCTCCACGCACACTCGCCCTGCGCACCTCACTCGACCCCTGATGCGAAAGCTGCTCCACATCATCGTCCTTGGTAGCACGCGCATTCTGGTAACTCAGTTCGTCCTTGAGCGCCGCAAAGTTCTTCTCCGCCTCCCAGTTCCAGATACTGTCCGACGCAAAGAGGAGGTCAATCTCTTCAAGCGTTCGCTGGTTGGTCTCTGGGTACAGGGCCCAGATCATGGGAATCGTGATTGCGTTGCATGCGGCGAAAATGTACAGAGTCTTCTCGCCGAGCACATTGAACATGACAGGGCAGAGCAGCGTGAGCCAGCCGTTGCCAATTGACCAGCCTACAACACCCCATGCATTACCCTTTGCTCGCACCTCCAACGGGAAGATCTCAGCGGGGTAGAGCCAGGGCACCGTCAGCCATGTAGCGCCGAAGATGGCTGTGAAGAGAAAGACCATGGACACGGCTGCATTTCCGTATGACGATGCCTTGCCGAGTTCCCCATTTCTAGTGGCTTCTTGTCCGAGATACGAGAACCCGCCGGCGAGAGCCATGGCGATTCCCTGTCCGACAGAGCCCCAGTAGCAAGTCCAGCGTCGCCCGATGCGGTCGAGCGTGAATACGCAAATGAGCGTTGCAAACATGTAGAAGATGTTGTTGGGACCGGCGATCCACTGTCGCTTCCCCGGGCTCATGCCTGCAATGCCAAAGATTGTCGGTGCATATACGGTAACTCCCGCAATTCCGATCCATTCCTGCATGATTTGGAACCAGACGACAAGCTGGACTCGGCGGCCAGTGTGGAGTTTGCCCGAGCCAATGCCAAACAGCATGTGGAAGTAGCTCTGCTTTCGGAAGTTGGAGCGCTCCAGCTCGCACGACGAGACAATGTCCTGGAACTCGGCCTCGGCTCTCAGCTTGTCTTCTCCGGTGTCGCCTCGAAGCCGCGCCAAGACATAGTGCCCCTCTGCTTCTCGACCGACTTTGACCAGCCAGCGAGGGGACTCGGGGAAGAACAAGACTCCGGCCATGAGCATGATGAGCATGGGGATTTGGAACGCAATGGGGAAGCGCCAGATGAATGACGAGGTGCCGTCGCCGTAGAAGGAGCATGCGTATTCCAGCCAGTAGGCAATAACCACACCGAGGATGTTGAGGGTGAACTCGATGGCGATGAATTGGCCTCTGGAAGTGTGCTCGGCGGTTTCGGTAGCCCAAACGGGGATAATGGCGTTGAGGATACCAGTGCCCCAGCCGTTGACCAGTCGTGCGCAAATCATCCAGATGTGGTTCATAGCTGAGCACTGCAGGGCGGCGCCAATGGTACCAACAGCTGCTCCGATGAAGATGGTCTTGATGCGCCCGAAACGATCACCAAGGGAGCCGCCAACCAGACATCCAACCAGCGTTCCGAGATAGTAGACTGAAACAATGCCTCCCTGGAGTAAGGTGTCGTCGACAACAGGGCCGCCATCAGGGCCCCGATGCCCAAAGCCCATGACCGTGTAGTAGTCGTATGCCGTGTTGACACCGCCCATGATACCCTGGTCATAACCGAAGAACAGAATGGACAGTCCAGCGATGCAGTTGATCCTTGAGGCACGATTAGCAGTAATCGAGAGAGTTGCAAAGACAAATCCTACGCTATCAGCAAGCTGCGCTTTTCAAAGCGGTGCACAACATTGAACCTGTGGATCTTATCCATGATGACTGTAAGCTGGGCCACGCCCAAGGAGCAACGACTGGGGATATGGATATGGCAAAACGATAGCAATCGAGTCCGCGCAGGGACAAAAAGGGCGACACTCAGGCAGCCTGCCTGCATGGTGCGCAGACTGCCGTGTCCTATATAAGGCGGAAACATAGCCGACAAAAACCATGGTCTGCTTGACCCGCGCCATCTGCCATCGTGAAAAAAGCCCACTTTTCCCGCAACCATGGAGAAGACCCCACTTCCCATGGGGCCCCAACAATGACGGCTAACAAGCTGACTGGACACAGGCCGCCGTGGGCACATGCTACCATGCCATTGTAACAAGCGCATCCGACGCGTGACTGGGCAGATGCAGTACTAGCTGCGTTTTTGGCAAGTTGCGCGTGCGTTCAAGGGAATTCGAGGCGCCATTACCGGACTGGGTAACCCGACAAGCTTGCCGTGATGGCGAAGCTCAGCGTTGGCGAAGCTTCGCTCTTGGGGCCGCTGCACCAAATGTCTGGACATTGTACCGTTGTCGAGTAATCCAGCAGATGGAGACTGGCGCAGACTCGCAGATATATTGGACCGCTTTCTTATTCTAATCGAGGCTGCATTTGTTCGTGTGGTGCCTATTCCCGGCGGCTATGCACAACCACAACCGTCATGACATCAGAGTGCAGGACAGCCTTGGTCTTGCGTCGGCGAAAACAGCGGCGAGTCTTGTCGGGATCGGCTTTCATTGTTCCAATCGCCGAAATGTGCGCTCGTGACGAGGCATGGCTTCGTACATGGATTGCAGCGTCTGCGAAGAAGCGGTGCAGCTGCGTCCAGGCGCATGTCAGTGTTAAGATCCGGGTTGAGTACATGCATTGCTGTGCTACTTGCCGCGTCGTCCATTACCTGATACAGTGATATGTTCGGAGAGTAGTAGTAGGAGATATCGGGGTAGGCTCCCCCTATATGCGCACCATCGGAACAGCCCAAGCAATATGGACCCCCGACATTCTTTGCATCGAGCTCAAAGTGCGTATGCCCCAGCCGTCTCTTCAAGCCGCCGGCCCTTCAGCGCTCTTCTTTTCGCAATACTTCTTCAGGTCTTGGCACCAAAGCGCAACCTTCTCCTTCAACGTCTCCTCCATCAACATCTTGACCAGCCGTGCCGTCATGCCCGCCATGATCTCCCAAGTCCGCACTTCGCACTCATTCTCACTCAGCACAATCACCTCGTGGAACCGCTCCAACTTGGGCGCAAATCCGTACATGCCTCCGTTTCCTACCCAACTAACCCTATACACCTTGCTCGCATCCGCCGTAAACGTCGCGTCTGCGAGTAACTCGGGCGAGAGGTACGACGTCGGTGCATCAGGCGTCGAGACATCTACGACTTTGAGTTGCGTACGGTTGATGCTGGTGGGCTTGTTCGCGTCCATGACCACCGCGAATTCCATGGCGGTGCCGATGCGCATGCGGCTGAGGTCATTGGCCTCCTCGTCGCCAGAGCTAGACGGCGGCTGCGCGACAATCCGGACAGATGGAACCCACGTGTTCCATGCAGGATAATCTGCTGCGTGCAAAATAGTGTCGAAGACGAGCGGAGCCGGCGCGCGCACGACGGTCGAGTATGAGAGTACCAACGTGGCCTTGTCGCGCGGAACAAGCTTGGTTGTGAGGCCTTGTGCGGGAGGCCAAGATGATTCAGAAGCCATCGTCTCACCCTAACAACAGCTCTAGTCAAAGGTAAGGCGAGGTGCGCTGGGCAGAGGCGGTGGGAAGAGTAGATGGGGTTTGCTACGTCGTCTTCTTGGTGGACCGGCAACACCGGAAGTTGCCTAGTGAACAAATGTTTCAGCCTGGCAAAGGAACTTGTGCCCACAATCGCATACTAACAGTGCACCAGATCTCTAATCTCAAGCTTGCCCCGATCGCCTTACCCGCTTAACTCGTGCTTGTTACCCCGGGATTTCCGAGTATGCGGAAAGATACGCTAAACGGCACACCATGTCCTTATCGATAAGACTAGGTCACGTGATATCCAGATCAGGGTCACGTGACGCTGACCCTCGCAAACCTTCTCCAACACGGCATGCGTGAAATGCATATAATACATTATTTGCTCCAGATTCTGACTTGGAGTCAAACGCTATGCTCGCCTTACTCAGCTTCGTGCTGCCATGGGCTTATTGTTCGAAATCTTGTTTATGCACCGCCAGGAATGTCAAACTCCACAGCTGGGCAATGTTGCTCTCAACGGGGAAAAATGCGCCCAGCGGCTCAGCCCGAAACCCGTTGTTGTACGTCCAGCTCCAGACCTCAATGCTAAGCTGGGCACGGTTCTTCTCAATAAGCGACCACAGATGCTCATACGCAGATAGAACCTTGCTGTACAACGGCTGGTCGGTGCAGAAGTCTGTCTCCAAATCAGTACAATGTGCGCCGCTGCAGAGTTGACGTGCTTAAGTACCCGGCTTATTCGCGACTTCACATCGCCCAAGCTGGCGCCCAAGCCCAGCTGCCATCATGGCCAACTGCCAGCTCCATACCACGATGCCGTGGTAATCTGCTCTGGTAAATGATTGCGCATAGAATGCATCGCCGCCGTACGCCGGGTTCGCCACAAACAACCCTACGTCGCTAGCGAGCCCGACGGGAAACGGCTGGAGGATGTGGTCCGCAGTTTGGTTCAAGAACCTGCTTAGTTGCATTTGATTCGTCGTGTTGAGCAGGAAATGGCGGAAGCAATCGTCCGTATTCATGACGCGCACTACCGGCTGGTCGTTTCGGCCGTCGAGCGCGAGGCCATAGAATGTCACGTTAGACGTGATCGCGTGCACATGAGATGTACCGGGGTACACAGACTGATGCTTCATATAACTTTCAACGAGCGAGACCGCTTCCGGTTGTGAGAGGGAAACTTCAAAAAAGCGCACCGTTTCGTCTTCCCACACGGTAGCGTATTGGTCGGCTGTCTCCTTCCATTCTGGATGCTCTGGGAAGAGGCCTGCTCTGCTGAGTGCGGCAATGGCTCGCAGGCCGGCTGGCACCAGAGCTGTATTTACATTGTACGAGATTCTTCCGCCGCCGAGGCCGCTATCTGTATCGCGCCAGTCTCCAACCGCTTGGCCGTTTCTGAGATGAATCAAGTTTTCCTTGACTTGACCGCCATGGGACGCGAATGGTGCGGACGTGTTCATGATCTTCTCGGCGGTGAGGAGGCCGAGTTTTGCGTACGATAGTCCGGCGTTGTTGGGAAGGAATGAAGCCGCTGTATTGAGAAATGCTTTTGCACGTTGACGGCCGGTTTCCGTGTCCACCAGGTACGTCTTCATCACAATCGGCAGAATGTAGTCGGTATCCACCATCTTGTAGTCGCACAGCGGCTCCGTGGACCGGCTGTTCTTCTGGAGATTTAGGAATGTGGCGTAGTCTCCGAGGACTTCTTCGTGGCATACGGTTCCGTCTATGCTATTTACGCGTTCCAAAACTGATCCAATCGCTGCTTCGATCGCTCCGCCGTGTCCTTCGCTGAGCACTGGCTGGAGTAGAAGCAGTGATAGCAGAGTATCTCGTCCAAAATAAGTCAGGTAACGCCAGGATCCAGCGAGGAGCTTGTCAGTATAAGACAGCAAAGATAGCGATGTTGTCTGCTCTAAATTTTTGTCGATGAGATCTATAGAAGCAGGGTTGAGAACTTCCTGAGGATTGAGCTGGTCTAACTGAGGATAGTTGAATGAGGCATCGAATTGGTAAGTGCCGCTTGGGAACAACAGAGTTGTGCCAACTTCCCGCTTGATAGTAATTGCGTTTGATCTGTTGATGGGTGTAAATGTCAGCCAGGTTGTAGTAGTGTTGTCGAACCAAGTCCGGTTTAGCACCACGCCTCCTTCTACAGTCTCGGAAAACTAGATCGCGTTTTGTACAGAAGGCTCTAAATGGTTTCCTGCTTCGGTAAAGCTCCTGATTGTTCGAATGCTGCCTAAAATTGGTACCGTGAGAATGGCCGAAGAATTCAAGTTGAGCAACCCCGACACGCCAACTCGAGGATTCGAGGAATGTGACTCGCCGGCCACGTAAATTGGTTCTAGTGCCTCTCCTGTCGTTACTGAATTTTCCAATCTTATGGCAAGACTGCCATCTACTCCATTTTCCGGCGCAAAGAAGGTGACGATGCCGCTATTCCCTGCGGGCCACGCTATAAGGAGCCGAGGTCCAATCAATTTCAGATTACTTGTCAATAGGGGGCTTGTAACAACCACATGTGAGCTGGAGTGGCAGTCAGAATAGAAGTGATTTTCATATGGTGGGTCGGAGAGGTGTAGTCTTGTAGCACTGGTTGAACAGGATGTATTATTGACATCCAAAGCTGTTTCACTGTGCAACACCCCCGGTGAGACACCAATGACGTAGTTTTTTGAGACTGCTATTGACCAAAGAAATAGAGTACTAAAGAGCAATACTGCGAGTAAGACCCAGATAACGGGGGTTTTCGGGGCCATCATTGGCCAAAGAGTGAAAATAGCGAGGAAACTGACATGCAGGCCATCGGACCTTCATATATATATATGTCCTAGCCCCCTTGCCAAGGGGGTGAGAAATCCCTGTCATTGCTGACATCGACATCATGCTTGGCGGGAGAGCCGGCTCCAAGCGGAAGTTCTGGAAGAAGTTTCGAAATAAACTTTGACAAGGGACATCTCAACACATTTATCAACAGAAATAACCTGGAATTCATGTGCAAGACTTAAGTGGACTATTTTAGCGACCTGCTCCCTCCTAGACTCTGCATATTATTCTGGTTTTATTCTCTAACTATATATTTATCATTCAAGTGTGTCGATTCTTGTCGCTCGCTACGAGAACAAGCAGTTACCGGATTTCAATTGCGGGCGCTCACATGCCGCGCGAGTTTGATGAAAACCCCACATATGCTATAAATATAAAACGGTTGATGCTCTTGTGTTCTTGCTCTATATATACGCGGCTAAATTGGTACATACTCAATACCAGCTTCTTCGCATAGAGAGTAGCTTTGGATCTCCGCAAACAGCTATTAAACAATGCCTAATGAGTATTGATTCGGCGGCTTTTACTTTGAAATCAGATGATTGAAATCACAACATCATCTTGTACGAACATACTTTTAGCTCTCGACATTTTAATCACATTCATCAGTGCACACTTCAGGGACCTGAAGAATATGAATACTTACGAACATATGAGTATTGTCGAGGTATTATTCGAAGGCCTGCCAGATAAGGCGTGGTTAGTTTGGTGCCACAATTCAACAATATATGGACTAACCGCACTCGAAGATCAGAAACATGTGAAATAGCAACTTATGGAAAAACATACCGTCTCAAATCTTCAATCACAGTGATAGAGTGAGTTTTCGTGCTGCCATGCGAGGGCGAGTATGATTGCATCGAATGGGGGACTGTCTCTCTGGCCCCACAATGTTAGATTTCTCATTAAACTCAAGTATAGCAGAAGGACCTCAGAGTTGTTGATGAAAGTATTAGATGCCACGCAGCAATATCAAGAATGATGTGAACGATGTCGTAGTGATAATGAAGCTGTCTCGGGGCTTTCTCAGGGACAAGACCTCAACTGCGGGTGTGCTCATAGAATCATGATGATGTGATAGTTAACTCTAAGTGCGCATCGCCTCACTCGGACTCTGTAAGCTACACTGAGTTCCCATCAAGCAATCTGAAGGATGTTCAGCCTGTCATAAGCATTCTCACCCAGGACTGAAGTTCGGCTGCAAGATAGTGCGTCTTATAGTGCTATCACTGAAATTTTCCATTGGGATCTCCGCCACCATCTGTGACATGGGCGGATGCTAAATAGGGGCATGGCCTTGGAAATTGGGCCATTGCTTGAAAACCATCGTCTATCTCCTCGCTATCACAAAGATTGAAGCATGTTGCAAAACCGATACGTGACTCACCTGAAGAGACCTACATGTCCTTTCAATTCTCATATGGCTGGAATATATGCCAACACGGCGGCATTTTTCATCTCTAAAAAAACAAGGGATCGTTGTAGTATAGAAAGGTTGATTCGTTTTAGTGAAGATAGACTAAAACACAATAACTACTCAATCGTACCAAGCTACTCCGGGTGAATGGTGAAGTATTCTGCAGTCAACAGTAATAACGTGTGCAAGAAGCGGTCATGAAACAGTGTCAGCAGCAAGTACGAAGTTCTAAGAACATCATGTATCACTGACAATATTCCTTGCATTACCAATAATACTATACTGTAGACTAAACCAAAGTATGCTTGAACATCAAGCGTTTTCGAAATCACAAGACGAGCGAGTGCAGTAGTTGGGGCTTCCAGAGCTTCAGGATTTTGAACCTAGTCCTCCCCGTGCTCCCCGTGTTGGGATACGCGAGCCAACGCTCTTGCGTGAGGTTTTGTCATTACTGTCAACGGCCGGGGCTCTGTCATGAGTTGGTGGTGGGTCACTCGACGATTCTTCTGATAACGTATTCGAAGATTTGGGTCGCTGAAGAATCTTGGGAGAAGGAGTCGAAAGCGATGGTGTATATGGGGCTGGCATTGGACATGACATGTCTCCGCTTGTTACAGACATCCTTGACTTTGGCACACTGATCTTTCTTCCAGTGCTGCGCGAGTCATACCTTCCGCCATTTGGGCTCAGTGAATTTTTGATATCTTCCTCTATTGGGGATGACTCGCTCTCAGACGGACGGTCCGGAATTGGTCGTACCGCCGCCCTCCGAGCTGGAAACCTAGGCTTGACTTGATCACCGTCGCTGTCACTGTCAACTTGTCTTGCCGACTGACGTAAAATTTGCTTGCGGATCTCTTCGTTCGTTCTATCGACCGCTATCGCAACTGCAGTAGCGTCGAGATCATCGTCATCAGGCGGGTCAGATAGTACAGAACCGAAGTCAGATTCCTTGGAGCTATCTTCGTCCCAGCTAGATAGCTCCGTATTACCATGGCTCGAGGCATCGAACCACGGGATGCTTGATTGCGCGTTTTTGAACTCTATGGAATCCGGACCGTACTTCGCGTATGCATCCGCGTCTACCTTTCGCCACAGCATGCCAGCGCCAAACCGGGTTGCAACCTTCTTGACGCCTTTCTTTCTGGAATGATAGTAGTCTGGATTATCAATGACTTCTCCGTTTTGCAATTCGATCAGGTGTGTTCTCGGCCTAACTATTGTGATATTGCTGTCGCTCGTTGTTGATTCTTCGTCTTCGTCGCTTACTTGGTTCTCATCGATATCATTGTCTTCGTCATCTCCATCTTCAGCTTCAGCTTCGTCTTCATCTTCGTCTTCGCCCTGCTCATCATCCTGCTCGTCCTCATCTTCATCCTCGTATTCATCCTCGTATTCATCCGTCTCATCATCACCATCACCATCATATCCGCCATCTGCAGACTGATCCTCCGATCCCAGCTCTGCAACCTGTCTACTCGAATCAAACCACGGTATCTCTGATTGCGCAGAAATGAAGTTGTCATCAGATCCTCCCCAAATTCCGTAAACATCCATATCGACTTCCCGATATATCAGGCCTGCTCTTCCAAATATGCTTTCCAGCGGTGGTAGGCCGGCCTGGAGATTCGCTGAGAAATCAGGGTTGTCGACGATTTGGCCGCTTCGCCAAAGTTGAACCATGCGTGTCATGGGGCGTGCATTCGTGTATTTGAGATCGTCGTCACTGTCATTATCGACGTTTGCTTCCTCATTGCTATTCACACTGCAATCGCTTCCAACCCGTTCGCGTGGGGTAGGTCGAGCGTCGGTTGCTGTGGGCTTTTCTTCTGTGGACATTGCATTTCTGGTTTCTTCGAAATTAGGATTGTGTAGCGAAGCATTCTGAATGCTCTGCTCATGGGCGTCTTGTTTCGGCTCAACTATGTCCATGGCATATTCGGAGATATCATCCGGGTGTGAATTCATAACGGAGGCGCTCGATCCAGTATAGCTTTGAGATGTTTCGCCTACGGGTTGCGAATATGCGCTGGTACTAGCGGGCGCTTGGTCCAAATTCATAGGGTCATCCAACAGATCCTGTCCTTGTGTTACTATGAAAGATGCATTGAACCGATTCATTGATCCTGATGCATGGGGAGAAGATTGGGGGTTGGAATCTATATCCATGGCTTCATCTCCATCTCTAACGCCTTTTTCGTCGGTCACGTCTACCATTTCAGCATCTTCTGATGCATTGGTGTTTGTGTGAGGGAGGTTGAACCCAGCAGATTGGAAAGTAGTCGTATCATTTCCCATGACAACGTCTTCAGTATATGGAGGCCCGTTCCTGGTATCTTCGAATTCATCAAGCTCCATTTGAATATCAGCATCACCATCTCCAAACTCTGTGCCATGGCTATGGCCTTGATCCTGGGATTTTGACGCCATTTCGGGAGGCGAGTGCTTAGTGTCACTATCCACAGGGGGCGACGGGAAATTTGCTTCGGAGGATGCAGATGGCATCCCTGATGTCGGTGGAGGTTGAGTTGGCATCCATTTCATAGGTTCTCCATGAAGTGAGTCAGTGTCAATTCCGTCGCTTCCCCACATGGCTTCATCAGAATCTGTGGTTTGATTACACGAGTCATCATGTATCTGACCTTGTGAATTGCTCGTGCCCCCCCAAACTCGGTGATAAGACACTGTCTTCTGTATGCATATTGCCTTTTGTGTTGTCGACTTTATGTTCATCCTGAGCGTGTCTTTCATCCAGCTTCAACCCGTCGCCCGATGAACCCAATGGCAATACGGAATCCGGCACACTGAATAATGGACTTGCTTCCTTTCTTTGGCTTGCAGCTGACAATTCTGCAGCTGCAGTAGGCTCGAAGTCGTTTTGCCACGCAGCAGCATTTTTCGCCTCCAAGGGTGACCCTGCGCTACCAGAATGGTGATACATCTGGCTCCCGATTGATTGATGTTTACCAGACCCCTGCTCAGGCTGCCATTCTTGTGCTGACTCTTGCTGGATATTTGGATTACGAACATCGTAAGGCATCTGCTCCACGGCATTGTCGGTATCGCTAGGAATGCTTTCACTGCGCTCGAGGACTGGCGAAAGCCCCCTCTTTGAGATTCTTCGTACTTGCGGCGGCCTAGAAGATCTGGTCCCAAAAGATGTCTTCGAGGATTTGGACTTCCGCGATGCGCGTGATACACGCGAGAAACTAGAACTTTTAGAAATCGGCGAAGAAGCAACGCCTGTTCCAAGTTCCAGTTCACACGGCTGAAGGGGCTCCGTCGTAGAGCATAGAACGCTTTCTGTTTGCTGCTTAACATGTCCATCATCGTTGGATTGTTGAGTGGTAGCAGGTGTTGTAATAGTGACATGTTCCGGTTTGGAGACGGATGCCGCTTTCGCTTTTTTGATCTCAGCCGCCACTGTTTTGTTTTGAATACTCGTGTTTTCCTGATCTGAATAAGTATCATGGGGAAGATGACGGATGTTAGGGCTCACAGATGTTTCCGTTGTGAAGGCAGGGCTTTTGGGTGTTGTCAGATTTTGTATACGCACTGAATCCTCATTCACACTGAACTCCGGGACTTTCTCTGGTTCTTTACTGCGCATAGTACTTGAGCTGCATCGCAAATCGAAATACTGTAGATCTTTGAGATTTTGCGGCTGTTGCTGGTCGTCAGCTGCTCTGGTCAGCGCGTCTTGCTCCTCTTTGGGACCTAGGGCAAGACGAACGCCACCCATCCACCTAGTAACATGTTGCCAGCAGTACCTAGCTGTGGCCACGATTCTGAACAACAGTATCCAATGATAACGTGTCGGGGAAGTCCAGAGAAGTTGAAATAATAGTGTGATGGCCCCAGTGGCTAGAATGATCGTGTGGTCTTGCATATAGTTGACACACGCAACAAGATGCGTGGACCACACTGCATATGCAAAGGCAATGATGCTGATGGGAACTGTAAACCACAATCGCATGCTTGCATGCTGCAATCTTTTAACTGCCCGAAAGCAGTAAGATGTTATCAAGACGGTAGTTACGGCGAGTATGAATGAACGCCATAAGCAGTGCCAAGATGAAGCTTGACCACGTGTGCTGTGATAGATCTCGGCCAAGTCAGCTACACTGGTTTTGATATGGTCTCTCCATACAAGAGATACATTTGCGTGCGCCCAGGACACGAAAGATTTAAAGTCAGTGTATGAGCTTGTGAAAAAGCTGAAGAAACTAGAAACAGCCAACTTAGCATGTAGGACAGCCCAGTTCCTTGGTGTTTCCTTTAACTTGGCCATCTTCGGCTTGATTGCAACAATGCTGCTCGATACAAGTGCGGAAATTGAGTTTAGGATATTACCAGGTAGATTGTAGAGATAGCCCAACCACAAATGGGTGGATGGCTTCGTATCAGTCAACAATATAGGAGGGGGCGTCGTGCTCATGGGAGCTTCGGATGTCACTGTTGAGGAAATGGAGGTTTGGTTTGGAGGCGGGGAGCGTTGCTTCGAGGAAACCGTGATTTCTGGAAGCGATAAAGTTGTACGAGTGTAAGTGACGGGTTGGATGAAGTAATAGTGTTCCCAAGTGGGCGGCCCTGACATGACAAGAACAGGATCGGTGTAATATGGCCTTTTAGTACGTGAAGAGGTGGCCATTTTGTCGTTGATATCAAATGACTGAGTGGCTTTCTGGGACCAGCTAGTTTGGTTAAATACTGGGGCATAGTGCGGCACTATGGCAGCAATGGCGCCTGCAGCGTATATTCCAGCTGCTAGCCCAGGATGCTCATCCCTCAAGTGGGCGGCGGCTGGTTGAAGGCAGACCCAGAGTCAGTTCATGATGCGTGCTTGCGTTAGAATAATCTACGTACCTTGAAGCGCCGCGCCTACCACGATAGCCATGGCTGGGACGTAGCCGGTTATCCAAAGAAATGTGTGTGTCTGGTATCTTGATGATGTGCAGTGGGAGTAAGAGTTTGATCTTCTTCTGGGATATTGTGGGACGCAGTGATGGAGCTGATTTGGTCTAGATTAGCACTGGTGGCAAATGTATAGACTGAATTGCAGTATTTTTCTGAAGCAGTGATAGGAAAGCAAACATGGTTTGGAAGACGAATGATCCTCTGCAACCTTGATATTCTCATGTTGGTTGTAAGGTATAAAGAGGACACCACTTTCTTGGTAGTGAAAGAATTGACAATGGGACAAAGAGAAATGCACCCAGCAAACAAAGCGATGGTGCTGGAGCAAGATGGCTTCCGTGGAGTTTGGGCTTTGTATGTCCGCTTTGTTGGTGGCGATGTGAAGCGCCATGCTAATTTTCTAAACAATGGCCTGGTGTTTGCTCGTTCTACAGCAGCTCCCGAGGAATTGAGTGGAACATTGAGATCTCTAGACCGACATACACATGAGTCTATGATCTTCTCTGGAAGCGGCGGGGGTAGATTGTGGTGTTCTTATTATGCAGAATCTCAGGCAGGTCTATTTGCAACAACAATCAACTCCCATGCATGCCCACCGACCTCATGGGCTTCCTGCTCCTGCACATGCCAGCCGGCGAAGCATGCCCTGTAATCGTCCCAATCAGCCTTCGGGCCGGCCCACACGATGCGCTTGACGCTCCTCTCGCCATACGCAGCCATGTACTCCTGGACCAAGCCAACGCGTCTCGGATACACGAACAGCCAAGCAGCTGCTTGAGCAGCGAGGGGCTCAAGGAAGCGAGAGCCGTTGACGACGCCGTGGTGGGAAGCGGGCAGGTACTTGTTGGGGCTGGGCTCCACCTCTACGCCAACTACGTGGAGGCCGTGGGTGCCGGCCATGAGGTACGCTTCGAGCAGACCAAAGCCGCTTCCAATAGACAGGGTGAAGCATGGCGGCGGGGATAGAAGCGTCTGCAGGTAGGCGACGAGCCGGTTGCTGAGGGCGAGGCAGCTGCCGGAATAGGCTGTGGGCGATTCGAGAAGCGGAGGGAGTGGAGGTAGCGCGGGGGCAGTTGAGAGCGCAGACAGGACCCCCTCTTCTATGCAATCTGGGTCCGGGTCGAATGTGCATGTGGTGGGAGACGACGCCATTTGGCCGTGGTGGTGGGGCTTCACTACTTGGTCGGCCTCTGTGCCCATCGTCAGTCAGATGTGCTGCTGCGTGTTAGTGACGGACAAGGACGGCATCTGCTGCGCCAAAGAATGCACACGCCAGACGGTCGGCGTCGCCGTGTCCATGGTGGCGAGTGAAAGCGGTGGCGGCAGTGGCAGTGGCAGTGGTGGTTGCGTGCAGGTGGATTTTCCACCTGTGGCTGTGGCTGTGGCTGTGGCTGTGGCCGTGTCGGTGGCGGCGAGGCGGGCGGGGGCTCTTGCCCTGCAGCGGTCGCTTCCTGCCCAGGCTGGCGCGGCGGCAGGAGCTATGGCCCACGATGTCGTCTGCACCTGCATGCACGAGATGCACGAGGCCCGCACCCCGCCACACGGGCAGCCAAAGACACCTCAACACCAGGCCGCACTCTCCACTTCGCGTCTTCACCGCCCCATAGACACGGCGACACGCGACACGACACGACGACACGCCACGGCACGACACGCTGGGGACTCGCCGGCGCGCCTCCACGAGTGCTGCCATGGCTCGCTACAACCCCTTCGCCTTCACCCCGGGCCCCGTCATCTTCTTCACCAGCGCCATCTACATTGGTCTCTTTGCTGCTCTGCTCGCCATTCATCTGACGGTACCCGCCCATCCCTCGCATCCCCCCCACGGCATCGACCTACCTCAGGCCTGGGCCGACCTCCAGCAAATCACCCGCCGCTTCCACCCATACAACAGCCATGCTAATGATCACGTGCGCCAATACCTTCTCGAGCGCATCCAAGCCATCATCGCCGAGAAGCATGCAGAGCCTGGCCAGATTGAAGTGCTCGATGACCTGACTGCCAACGCCACCTTTTCGTCTGGCACTACTTCTGTCTATTTTGAGGGAACAAACATTATTGTCACCATCCGCGGCTCCGACGACGACGAGCCCTTTGACGCCGCTGAACGCAGACGCGATAATGGCGGCGTTCTTGTCAACGCACATTACGACTCCGTCAGCTCCGGCTACGGTGCCACCGACGATGGCGTGGGCGTCGTGACGGTGCTCCAGCTTCTCTCGTACTTTACCGAGTCTCGCAATTGGCCCAAACGCACCATAATCCTTCTGCTCAATAATGGTGAAGAGGACTACTTGAACGGCGCTAGGGCTTTCATGCGCAACCCCATATCTCAAGTTCCCCATACTTTTGTCAACTTGGAGGGTGCTGGTGCCGGCGGCCGAGCGACCCTGTTCCGAAGCACAGATACCGAAGTAACGCGCTTCTACAAAAGGTCCAAATATCCATTTGCGTCGGTTGTAAGCGGCGATGGCTTCAAAAAGGGTCTCATTCGTAGTGAGACTGACTACCGCGTTTTCTATGGCGATCTCGGCCTCCGTGGTCTTGACATTGCCTTCATGGAGCCCAGAGCACGCTATCACACGGTCGAGGATTCAACACGCGAAACATCTATCGACTCACTCTGGCACATGCTATCCGCCGCTTTGGCCTCGACGGCGGGGCTGGCATCTGTCACTGGTACCCAGTTCAGCGGACCACAGAGCCTCGACAACGGCAGGGTCAATGCAGGCATTGGCAGTGACAGCGTTTGGTTCGACCTTTTCGGCAGGGTTTTTGTCGTATTCCAGCTCCATACCTTGTTCGCGCTGTGCGTCACCATGTTGGTAGTGGCGCCACTTGTGCTCATCGGCCTTACGGTTGGTTTATCAAGGGTTGACAAGAACTACTTGTTTGCCCGCAAAGCATACGTATACTCGTCGGACGACGACCATCCCGTGCGCCTCTATGGTTGGCGAGGTGTTTTTCGATTTCCCATCATCTTTGTCGTTGCCAGTGCCATTGTGGTTGCTCTGGCCTATCTGATTGTCCGATTCAATGCCATGATCATCTATAGCAGCCCATTCGCTGTCTGGAGGTAAGTCATGTAAACACTGCCCCGGTAATTTCGCTAACCCCTGACATAGTATGATGCTATCTGCTTGGTTCTGCGTCGCCTGGTTCCTGTCGCGTGGAGCAGACGCTATGCGACCCTCCGCCCTCCACCGCATGTACGCCCTGATATGGCTTTTCATTGGATCCTTCATCGTTCTGACCATGGTCACGGTTTTCGTCAACAACTACCAGCTTGCTGCGGGCTATCCCATGTTCTTCTATTTTGCCGCCGTTTTCTTCGCCATTCTTCTCTCGTATCTCGAGCTCTTCTGTGCGCCGACAAAGTCTGCATATGCGCGCCATGTCGACCAGACGAGCACTTCACGCCGCAATTCAGAGTCGGCTAGTCGTCCTCTTACAGGCAGTACCAGTGCTGCACGGTCTGATGATCGTGCGGTAGGGGACGATGACGCAACCGAGACTACCTCGTTATTGCGAGGCGATCGCCGCGGATTTGCGAGGTACGGCACCAGGCGCGACTCCACCAGCGATGGAAGCGAGGATCATGGCCACGGCAGCCGGCGGCGAGACGACGGAAGCGTATATCCTGGCGAGCAAGAGTGGAGCGGCAAATTACCCAGTTGGATCTGGATCATCCAACTACTGCTCCTGGCGCCCGTCGTCATCGTCTTGGTGGGGCAGGTAGCTCTACTTTTGACATCGGCACTCTATCAGACGCCATCTGACGGCAACTCAACCTTGTTCATATACCTCGCCATTGCTTCGCTGAGCGTCCTGCTGCTTACCCCTATCGGTCCTTTCATTCATCGCTTCACCTATCACATCCCCACCTTCTTGTTCCTGGTCTGTGCGGGGACTGTCATTTACAATCTTGTCGCATTCCCCTTCAGCAGGGATCACCGCCTGAAAGTCTACTTTGTTCAACGAGTCAACTGTGAGACTGGAGTCAACACTGTATCCCTGACTGGGGTGGATGGCTACGTGCAGCGCATTGTAGGCGAAATCCCTAGTGCACAAGCCGCACAGTTCAACTGCACAACGCCTGACGTTGCGACGCGTAAGGAGCTCAAAAAGTGCGAATGGCACGGGCCACCTGCAGACGTTGTCACCAAGGCAGTCGACGCCGCACCCTTGAGGCAGAAGCCAGACACGGACAAATGGCTCGATTATGAGATACACAAGGGTAACAGCTCCAGCACAGCAATGATACGTGTTGTCGGTCAGAACACGCGTGCATGCCGCATCTTGTTCGACTCTCCCATCACCGATTTGGCAGTTGCTGGCGCTGTTTCAGATTCTCGCTTCAAGCGTGTCGGAGCCGCTGGCACCCGGGAAGTGCGGCTTTGGCATCGTGAATTTGGTCAACCGTGGAACGTTAATGTGACATGGGACGCCAAAGAACAATCAAAGCTTTCTGGACAGGTGGTGTGCATGTGGTCGGATGCCAACGCAGGTGCCATCCCTGCCTTTGATGAGGTAAGGCATTATCTGCCTACGTGGGCCATAGCCTCGAAGATTAGTGACGGGCTGGTCGAGGGCTTTAAGCAGTTCGAAATTTGAGCTGTCGTCACGAGGCGCTGCAGCGTTGATCCCTGTCACCGTTTCGAGCCCTTTTGCTGCGAAATCGTCTTTGGATGCATCCCATCGCGGCGTCATCGGTCATTTGTTTCGTTATGCGCATGTCCTGAGGAACCATTCACGTCTTACTCCTTTGCTCGCTGCCCCGTCCTTGCTCCACTCGCCATAATTGACTTCTTAATTCGTCGTATTTGGCCCTTATTCAATGGCTGGCCGCATAGTATCTTGGTCAACTTTGTAGGCGACAAAATATAACGAATTTCGCTTTAAAAGCCCGGACTTGGACGGGTCGGGTCCCTCACCACGGTGCACTTTCTGCCCATTCCACGAATCCGAACTATATTTTTTCAGCCTCACAATCGTCTGACGGGGTTTGGCTTGCACAAGTATGAGCGAAGCTTTCGAATCAGCCCAAGACTATGCACAACGCTACCTGTTGCCGATCGCTGTCGGGTCAATACTCGCCATCCCTGGCGCATTTCTTTTGCTTACCGGCAGCACTACTTTATTGCAGACAGTGCCATGCATTTCACTGTCAGCCTCGACGTCGAAACTTCTTCCAGACTCCACGGCCACGCCATCCGTTTGCACCGCGTGCAATCCTTCAGGATTCCATCTGCCAACATCAAGACCAGGTGAGTATGTGCCGGCGACGTGTTAGCTTTTGCGCACTATCACCTCGCGTCCGACTACCAGTTCGTTAATTCTTAGCGCAGACGAGGGACTAGTGACAAGTGGTGTCTACCGATTGATCGCCTCCACACGCAACGTTCTCAAAGCCACTGCGACTCCATCAGCCGACCGGTACCGTTCTGAGGCGCGCTACGAGCTGCTCAGCTTTGCTTTTACACTACCCCTTTTGGCTTTGATCATCGCGATTCGACCAAGAACACCCATTTTCATTGTTCGGCAACTACCCAATTCGTGGGCGAGTAGACACCAAACATCTTGAGCACTTTTTTTGCATTTGCTCGCACTCTTCTTTTGCGCCAATCCAAAGCTTGACCGGTGCGACTTGCTGGTATTGATTTTTGTCATGGTTGCGTTTGACTTGTTTCAGCAAGGCTTGGGCGAGAGGACACTTCACGAATTCAATCAGCCACGCGACCAAACATCGTCTGCTGAAACCCCTGATATGGAAACTTGCTCAAATCATACTAGCGCGAGTATGGCGATTGTCGCAGCAAAAGAGCACCTGGCGCATAGGTCAACCACATCCGACACGACCTTGACAACTTTTGATGCCAAAGACCGAGAGATTGTGCGGCTGCAACGAGCACTTACCGAATTGAAAGCCGCCCACAGAGCTAGCGAAGCGCAACTTCGCGTTTCAAAGGAGGAGCTTTTCAACGTGCGTGAGACACTCAACGGGACTCTTGCCGAGTACGCCAACCTGCGCGAGGAGTTGAAGGTTCTCAAACAAAACCTGGGGCGCGACCACCAGGCCATTGTATACCGGAAAGACATTGAGCTATTTGCACTTCGCAAAGGCAACGAACAGAAAGACCAGTGCATCCGCGACCGGGACGTCAAGATAGAAGAGATGAGCAGACAGCACAAAGCTGCGATTGAAGTGAAGGATGCCCAGCTGAGGCTGATGAAAGAGCGGATAATCTCGATAGAGCGAGAGTCGAGCCCAAGGTTCACGGAAGAGGGGGAAGACGGTGACCATGCACTCGAGGTGAGGTTACTGCGAGTGAGGAAGAGCAGCAGAGCCTCGCAGCATGGAGAGGAGGACAAGGACGCCATCATCGCACGACTCCGCGAACAGCTGTCTGCTATTCCCTCAGTCAGTGACGACATCGTCAATCATCAAGCCGAGCTGTCGAGGGCATGGGATGTGGTGGAGGAGACCAAGAAGGCTTTGAAAAAAGAGCGGGAGAAGCGTATCCAAACACAGGAACAGCGAGATGAGGCCATGGTAAAGCTGTGCGAAATCGAGGCACAGAGTGGGAGTCGAGCAAGCACCGTGGCAGGTCGTTTGCCAACAATAAACGAAAATGACCACGACAAGAACGAACTTGAAGCCATCTTTGACACGACCCAGGAGGAAAACATCCGGCTATATGCAGAAGTGGCAGCTCTCGAGAAGCGGTTAACTGATGCAAATTCACGCACATTCGCTGCTGTACAAGAATGCGAGGCGCTGCGATCACAGCTGAAGATGACAAAGCCCAATGGGGGTGATGTCAACACCGCACGCCCAAGTGTCGTGCACCATGTACATCTTCAGCGTATGGAAGATCAATTGGTTGACCTTCGGGATGCGCTCAAAGACAAGGAAGATGAGACAAGGAAACTGAAGAAGTCACTCGCCAACAAAGATTTGTACGTCAAGGAGATCCAAGGGGAACTCGACGCCGCCGCTACCTTTCACACTCAAGACCAAGATGAGATTGAACGTCTCAAGCAGTCTATCTCAGAGCTTCAAGCAACCAAGTACCAGCTCATGCTCGACCGTGAGAGACTCGTAACAAATCGACCCCGCCACCGAGTCATTTCAACTGAGCGTACAGACCGCACATCCGCCCGATCCAGCGGCGCCACCCTCATCCAGGAATTGAGCGCGGCATCAAATACGCCTTCAGAGAACAATGCACCTCCGACAACTGCGCAGAGCGTAACTGTGCCAGAACGGGAAGGGAGCATCCAACAAACACCGGTACGACATCTTCGAAGCAAGAGTTCACATAAGGCTGAGCTCAACCGATGGAGCTTGATGTCGCAAAACCTGCCACCTCCAGAGTTGAGAGAGTACAAGGAAACACGAAGGAAGAGTTCAGGATTCAAAGAAGTGATGCAAAAGATGGTTGGCGGGAACAAGAAAGAGGAGTCCATCATCCGGCGCGCCCTGACTCCAAAGGATAAAAACGCTCGGACAAGGCCTTCGACGGCTGCCTCGAATGTCGCGGTGAAACCGGTGAGACAGACATCAGCCAACAAGGTGGCCACGTCGCCTGTTCCGCAGAACGTGCGCGCACCCAAGGCCATGCGCAAGAGGCCTACCAACCAGCGCTACTACGCCGAGCAAGAAGCCAGCGACCAGGAAAATCAGGTCCCCGAGCGACCGCACACCATGGGAGCGAATGTGCCTGAGAAGCCAAAGAGCCGTCTACATTGGGGTGCTACGTAAGTTTTGTCATGTTCTTCTTCCATCTGCTATCAATGTGTTACTAACGCGCCATAGAAATAAGCTGAAGCGGCGCTCACTTCTCTGACCGTACCATCACGCGCACCCACACACTCACACTTTTGTGTCCACGATAAACGCTTAATGCCCCCCCTGTGCGTCTGGTGTTTTTTGGTTTTTTTTCGGATTTTTTTTTCGGGTTGTTCTTGTTGGCTAATATCCCAACGCACGAAATCATGTTTCTTAGGGCTAGATGAAATGGTTGTCACAATGGCCTAATGAGGATATGTGGGCGGCGTAATGGTAGAACTCCATAGCAGGACAGCGTCGCATCTACGTGCGACGAAATGATCTGATCTTGTTGTCTTTGTGTTTTTTTTGGGTTTTTTTATTCCCCAGACTAAGTTGGAACAATGGATGGGTATCAGCAGTTTTGGGGGAGGGGGGGGGGCGTACCTTATGTTGTTAGCGTCGTTTCCGCGTTCTGTGTTTGGCTTGGTTCTAACCGTTCTGTGCGATTCGCTGTTGCATACGTAGAATTATGCCAACTTGCTATGGGGGCTCGGGGCGTACTCATATACGCTGAAGTCAGATTTACCCTACGTGTGGCTCATGCTCATGGCAATTTTTCCAGATTACCGTCCCATGCTCTTTCTCTCTCCCCCCGCCTCAAGTTTTTTTTTGAATGGCTGGTGAACAGTTTATGTTTGGTCTTAAGAAGTGCTGTGTTGGCATGTTTGTTGTTGTGAATGTGATTCTGTAAGGTGGGATCGGTCGTGGTGTGGCGTGACAGTGGGTCTTCTTTGAGGTTGTTGTGTTTCGTTCGTTCAGAGGGTAATCAGTGAGATTTATTGCGTATCCTGTCGATGTTTTTCTCGGTTGCTGGAAGGTGGATGAGAGTAGGAGAGGGACTGCCTCATTTCAGTAGGGAGAGGGATGATGGGAAAATGCGAACACTGGAATAGAACTCGCTATTGTGCTATTAAATATTTAGTCGATGTATATCTAGTATATACCGGTCAGTATTGGCATCAAAAAACCGGAAATACTAGTCAGGATTAAGACAATATATCCGTTGAGAGTAGAGTGAGTGGCATGAATGGAAGAGAGGAGACTGTTCGAGGTCTTGGATGAGGTTGAGAGAGTGAAAGGTGTGGCAGTTAGGGTAATCTTTCAGAAAAAGTATACTGCAGCAATTAATTGGGAATAAGTGTTGGGATATGGACATTGATAATGTACGCCAGACTGGCGGTGGAGACGGAGAAGGCCAGCAGCCTCGCCTTCACATGTCTGACATCTGGATGGTTTCAGACAACGTCATCGGCTTATCAAAACCCGTCTTCTGTTGACCAAGGGAGACGTCTGCCAAGACTTGCCACTCTCGCCTATCCATCTCTCACACCACTTATTCACATGAAGAATGACAAGTCGCAGCCTCCGCTGGATATCGGCCATATCAGCACATTACCATCCTCGTATCAGATGCGGCAACGTGGAAAGGGGCTATTCGAAGCAGTGCTGGCATTATGATTCGTCCTACACTCCCACCCCAGCACCATTAACACATACATATTATTGACATGATGGGGCTACGAGCCTCACCTTCATCTAGTTAAAACCCCTCCTAAATATCGTAGCTAGAAACAACCTACTTAGATACTTGTAGGCCTAAAAACCCTACACGTCTTATATAGCCCTTCGGGCTGAAAAAGGACGTTAAACTAGAATAATAATAATAATAATATATTGACATGATGGGATTCTAGCTCAGCAGAATTACAGGCAACAGGTCACCGACTTTCGATTCAGATCGGAAAGCCTCGCGCATCAGGTGATGAAGATCAGACCGACACTGCTGTTGAAAACAATGCTTCACCCTCCATCTGTCCGAGCCAGTAGGCGCTCTTGTCGGGCGAGAGAAGACTCATTCAAGACCCGCACCGGGCAGCGGGAGAAATATTTTCACAGGCAAAAAAGACATGTAGCCGATTTCCAGCGAGGCGTCATGACGAGGCTCAACGTCGGCCCTGAAAATCTCAGCCGCGCTAGCGGCTAACAGTGGGGCGGCACGCGTTATCGTCACTCCACCCGGCCCACGCCCATGGTCTGAAGGTCGTCCGACGCCGACTCTGGAAATCATCCGGGACAAGTCGGGATGCCTTTTACTCGCCCAGCTCATGATTTCATACAACTGGCAATCAGGATGAACAAGCAGCCGCGGAGAGCAGTGGTATAAGAGGACGAGGGGTGCGGCCAGTGTGGCCATCATTCACTCCACTCAACCTTAGCTCACTATCAACCATTTGCTAGACGCAAACCCTTTACAACATTCAAACCACCAAAATGCCTTCCTGCAAAGGTACTGTGCATCTTCTCCAACCACTCCACACCTGCACTCCATACTGACGACGCATCCAGACTCCATCTCTTCTACCCCAGCCGCGGTCTCGGGCGTCCCGACTCCAGCTACCCACACGGCTCCCACTTCGACGCGCGACACCCTCCACGCCGCTTCAGCTGCTCTGGGTCTCACGTCGCAAGGGCTAGACCTTTGCCCGCACTGCTTCCGCGAGATGTCACACTGCAACGAAAGATTCGAGTTCGCTTAATTCCGTCATACCTCGGTCGGCACGCTGGACGTCTCCGATTCTGTTCGGCGTGTATACTATGAGGACCCTCCTCCGCAGCAACGGCGTGCCGTTGCCTATCCCGAGGGGCTACGATTTCCTTTTGGTTGTTTGATACATGTGGGATGCTTTTTCCGAAATCACGTGTGGCGTTGAGGTGGCTGGTGCTTTTTGGCCGTCGGGCATGGCATAATTACCCCACTTTAAGAGCTGGAATTGGCGTTGGCATCATATACTTATACTCTGGCTCGCTTCTCAATTCATCTCAATTTGTTCAACTCCACTCGAAACTGCTCATCAGCCCCATGATTGCGGGAAATTCTAATGGATCGATTTTCACCACGCCAGAACAGCAGCTAACCATCGCAGCTACTGGACCCACCACGCAGGAGATCAGAATGCAGATAAAGTTCCAATAGCGCACCAAACGTTGGCTTTCGATACTTTTGCTTTTTTTCTGTCAACTCCCACCAACGTCGAATCAACGAAGACTCGCTTGAACAAATGCCGTGTGGCAAACATGACAAAAATCTTCCACATGCTTACGTCACCAAGGCTGTGGACGCCTTATCAACCTTTTCCCAAGACGTATCCAGCCACCACACCCGACCGTTTTGACATCGTATCTCTAGCTCAACGTGCTGATCATCTTCCTCGTTAGCTTTAGCAAAGCAAAGAGTCGGTGTGGGGGAGACACATCTGCAACGGGGAACCCGCCGATAACCGGACGGGCCTGCCGCTGTGCGTTAGTCTTGGCCCCCTCGTCAGTACTGCACAACTCCAGACTTTTCCCAACACCTCGTCTCCTACACCTGTAGGCCAAAATTCATCATGACTGCCGCGCAGGACCCAAGGCGCGCGTCGCCCGCCGACGAGACGACGCCTCTTCTGCTCCGCGACGAGCCCAAAGAAAGAGACGAAAAAGACTCCGGTGTCTCGGTATTATTTCGTGCCCTGCTCTGCGCATTCCTCGTCTCGTTAACCTTTGGCATCACTCAAGTCCCCATTCTCTTTGCCTTCCGCATCATGACTTGCGATGCCTACTACGAGCATCATGTCCCGGACCCCAATGCGACCGACATATGCGCCAAGCGCGAGATTGAAGCCGGAGCTGCTCGATCCTTTGCCCTCCTCGCGTCCTCAACCACCATCTTCGGCCTGGTCAATCTGCTCGTTGCGGGCTGGACCATCAAACGTTTAGGCGTCAAACTCGCGCTCATCATCCAGATCTTCTGGCCTGCTGTGCGCTTGCTCGTGCAAAACATTGGCATCATGCGTGGTAGCAGTCTAGGCATCATGATTGTGCAGTCCTCTCAGATCATCACAGTTGTTGGTGGGCCCAATGGCTATGTTCTCTGCCTCAATTCACTGGTCGCCGAGGTGGTTGGGCATGAGGGGCGCACGGGAGCGCTGGGCCGTCTCCAGGGCTGCATGTACTTTGGAAGTGCCATTGGCTTTCTCATCGGAGGCGTGGTAGGAGATTTGTTTGGCATCCTTGCTCCGTTTCGCATGACCTTAGCACTCTTCTTGCTCTGCTGCGCTTACGTCGCAGTGTCGCTGCCAGCCATGGACCCGCCAAAGGAAGACAAAGAAGCCTCACCCCACCAAACCGCGGGTGTTGCACGATTTTTCGGTCCCCTCCGAATCTTTGCACCGCAGAAATGGGAGCTTCCCAATGGTCACGTTCGCCTCCAGTTTGGAGCATTGACCCTGGGTATCGGCGTTTTCCTAGGCATCCTCGCGACGGGCTATATCCCTGTATTGCTTCAGATGTATGCGACGGCCGAGTTTAGCTTCGGTACCAAGGAGAACGGGGCTTTGATCTTCTTGTACTCGTCGCTTAGAGGAGGCTTTCTCTCGTTCGTGTTTCCCCGTGTCATCGCTGCAGGGCGCAGATGGCTCGGTGATGGCGGCAACAAGGACAGACTAGAGACTGAGGAACAACAGCCGCCAGTCCATGTCCGCGCTGCATCGCCATCGCCAGCCATCATCGAATCCGTCGATACCATGGAGAACGAAGAGCCACCGAATCCGGAGCCAGCCAACCAGCAAGAGACGTACACATTTGATCTGTTCTATGCGCGCTTTAGTCTCCTCCTGGATGGTATCCTGACAGGCCTTGCGATACTCGTGTCTAGGGGATGGCAGATGTACCTGGTGGCCATACTACTGCCCTTTGCTGCAGGAACCGGCGCCGCGTCCAAGGGATCCATTCTCCAGATGCTGCCGGAGAGTGAGCGCGTAGATGCTCTCAGCGGCATCACGCTGGTGGAAAACATTGCGCGACTGTCCACCACTGCCGTTTTTGGATTGGCTTTCGCCGCCCTTGCGGAAGTTGGAAAGAGTTATCTCACGTTTGTATGCAATGCGGCTGTTGCGCTGCTCGGCTTTCTCGTCCTGCTTTCCACCCGCTTCCCGCCCAAAGGTAGTCGTCGCGCGTAAACTGGGACACGATGATAAATTTTCAATGGAATTGGCCGTATATATGAATCAATATGAACAGTTGGCGGTCACAATCTTACTCCTATGCAGCACTTGCTCAAAAAGAAGTCGAATCCAACAGTCCCTCTAACGGTAGGGGGGCTAGCACTAGCCCTGTTCGATTTCTGTTGTGGTAGTGTACACGTTACCATGATAGCCTTAGACTGGCGCATCCATTGTTGTCTAAGCACACGGCACTGCGGCGTATAGCAACGTTTTCCAAGCTCTCTGCCGAGACTCATGATTGTGGCTGAATCCTTCTACGGAAGAATGACCGCAAAACCATTGGTCCATTCTATCTGTCCAAGATCAGGCGCACCGCCGCAACGGCCTGTCGTTCAGCATACTTCAAGGCCCCAGCCTCACCTTTCACGCCATGTTTTGCAAGATATCCCTGGATGTGCCAAGACCTCATACTGGTAGAGAATTAGAAACGCGTAAAAAGAACAGAAGTTTTCGCCATGCATACGTTATTTTTTCCGCTGCTGTGGCTCCTGACCCATCCGATCATGGCACAAGACAACCTCCTCACCTTTCTCTATCTCGATCTCCTCGGGATTGGCGTCTCGACTCTCGTCTTCGTCGCCTCTGACGACATTGCAACAACATATGAGAACTACTGTCCTCCAACCCCCACATTGTCCACTCCAACCCCCGCACAAACCGCACCCTCACATCTCTCTGCACCCCAAGAGCTGCCCAGACCTACTTTCTGCGCCAACTTTACCATGTTCCAAGGCCCGTCAACCTGGGGCCTCAATCGCACCATCACACGCTCGAATCTGCAGACGTACAATGGAGACTGCACGTGGACTGGTAGCGGCGCGTTCACTGCCGTCCCGATTACGTGTGATGCGGATGCGAAAGGGGAGATGTATGGGCGTGAGTTTAGTAGGGGGACGCCGGTGACTTTTCAGCCGAGCGAGTTGAGTGCGAAGACGAATGGGTTTGGGTTTGCGGTTGCGACGGTGGTGTCAGGGACGGAGACCGGGACGACGGGGAGTAGTATGGTGAGGGAGACAGGTGAGGGGAATGGGGGAGAGGCAGAGGCTACAGGGACAGGGACACAGGGTATGGGGACGCAGACGGGGAGTCAAGCTATGGCAGGTCGAGCGCCGTTTCCAACGGGCGTCGTGGCCATGGTGGGGAGTGCGTTCGTGGTTGGAGCTGCTGCTTGGGTGCTCTAAAGGCCAAGGAGGATGAAAATGGTGATGATGGTTCATGGAGAGTTTGTGTTTGAATAGTACTATGTTGCAAACTTCTACCGGGATTACCATGTCCAGAATAGTATAGCACTTCGATGCTTGGTATACGCACCTGGTCATGAGTATCTGCTATGTATACACAGCAATGTCAGTCATGTGTATGGTTTGGTCAGCTCAAACTCTTACATGTGACAGAAATATTCGGTAGCTGATTAATCGTGGTCTACTAAGGACAAATTGCGATGACGTGACGTCTGTTGATGCGAACAGGGCCGCGAGATAGTCCAGCCGTGGCTCGGCGACTAACACGACTTATCGCCGTCTCCGGGCCTGGGGTTAACGCCGACGTGGATTACAGCCACAAGCCCGATATCTCAGGCGTGGCTCATAAGCTCAAAGACGTCTTGGTGTCTCTCGCAAAATCACAGTCAAAACCAGTACTTTTGCCAACATCAGACTGAAGAAAATATGAAGAGCTGGCGACACTCAAGCACCAACCGATTGATTAGCCCGAGCTCGACCCGATTACAGTCTATTTCCACTGCCCACTTCCCAGTGCATCAGCATAGCCTGTTGCGTCCACGGGTTGCTGCCAGGCTATATCCAGTCATCAGTAGTTCGACTGGAAAGACTTTGGCTACCGGCTCAACCAGACGGACGATATCCATACTTGCAACTTCCACGGAACACTTTTCACCATTCCTACAATCTGATCAACAAAACTCGTACAGCATGGCGACTTCAACGGTTCCCGAGCCGACTATTCATAGCATCTTCGAAGACAGAACAGGCACATGGCAATACGTGGTCGCGGATCCCGTGACCAAAAAAGCCGCCCTCATTGACGCAGTGCTGGATTTCGACGCGGGCTCCAAAACCATTAGCACAGTGACGGCCGACAACTTACTGGCGACCATTTCACATCACGGATATCAGGTGGACAAAATCCTCGAGACACATGCACACGCCGATCACCTGACAGCAGCGTCTTACCTTCAGTACCGACTCGAGCAAATCCAGGGTTTCCGGCCTCCCATTTGCATCGGCAAGCGCATTGAAGAGGTCCAGCGGCGATTTGCTGCCAAATACAGCATTCCAGCTGATGAGTATGAAGGGGTGTTTGACCGTCTTCTTGACGACGACGAGGAATTTGCATTGGGGCAGCTGACTGTCCGTGTCATGCATCTCCCCGGCCATACGCCCGACCACATTGGGTACCAGATTGCTAGTAAGTCTGCATGCGGAAAGTACTTGCAACAGGTGCTGATGAGCAAGCAGAAAACGTGTTTTGTGGCGACTCGATATTCCACGCCGACATTGGCACCGCGCGCTGCGACTTTCCGGGCGGCAGCGCAAGAGCCCTGTATACGTCGGCGCAGAGACTGCTAAGTCTGCCGGAGGATGTCAAGATTTGGACGGGCCATGACTATCCGTCGTGCCCGGGGCGGTGCGAGCCCGTGCCCTGGCTGACCGTTGGCGAGCACCGGGAAAGGAATAAGCATGTTTCCAAGAATGTAGCCGAGGCTGACTTTCTCGTGCTGCGACACGAGCGAGATGCTGGACTCGCGGCGCCAAAATTGCTGCATCCTTCGTTGCAGATTAACATTCGCGCTGGCAGACTTCCTCGACTGACGCCTGGCGGTGAGCGCTTGATGCCTTTTCCACTCCGACTGGCGTGTGAGGCATGGTAGATGCAATCTCTTTGCAACTGGATTGAGTTGACTCATGGGCTTACGAGCATGTGTTAATAGCGTTTCGGGGGTGATTCCTAATATAGATGGCATTTCGATAGCATTCTCCGTAAGCGTCAGGTGGAGCTATGTGTTTATTGTGCTGTTCTCAAGACCCATAAGGTCGTACAGATTGTGGAAATCGATGTCATCGAAACGATTCCGTTCAACCAGTGTGCTTACCGGTGGTAGCGGACTTGTAGTCGAATGGCGCGACCCTTGAAACACGGCACATGCAACTTTCTTCAACGTGCGCAGTACGCTTTCGGCCACGGTCCAGTGGCGGCTGAGTGTTTTGCATACGCCAAGTAGTAATTTGACGCGGTCCGAGTGCTGTTCCATGCACGAATCAAGGCTTCTTCCGTGGACGGCACCGACAGACAGCTGGACGACGGTAGCGAGAGCAAGTGGATATATGAAGATTGGGCTGTGCTTTTGTGCAGGCGCTTGCAGGGCGGCAAGCATGGATATGGTTCTGGAGGCTTCGACGGCCTTGACCGAATGCACGTGTTGGCGGTTGCAAGGACACAGGAATTTGGAGCAGTCAGCCCCCGGCACAATCTGTGTGAGAGGATTAGGACTTGCTAGGTCACCTCTGGGGTAGTGCAAGAGAATGATGCTCCACTGGATAATGGCATGGGCCTGGAACATGAGCTCGTCCAGCTCGCCAAACGTGTTTGAGATTTCTGCCTCGCTTTTGCTACGCGGCAGGTGGTGGATGAAGGCAGCCAGAGAATTATCCACGGCTTGAATGTGGTCTCGGTGTACACCGTGTGTTCCCGTGATTGTCAGGGCTCGCCCGAGAAGGCGAACCGCCTCGATACGATAGCACGAGGAAGAAAAGACCTTTTCTTCTTCTTCAAAAACATTGGCGTGGAATTCGGCAAGCGTTGGCGGGACAAAGCACATCCCCCCCTCGTAGATGAAGTCTTCGCACGGCAGAAGGACGTCTGCATCCATTGTCCTAGTCTTGAAGGTCGACTTTCGCTGCAAGGCGGCCATGCAGCCGTCAATGACGTAGAGCTCGTACCAGGTCCTTCGCATGCTCTCTTGCAGGATGGTCGAGTCTCGGGCATGGTCTGCGGCAAAGTCGCGCTTGTGCATGCCGAGTGCCACGGCGTCTTCGATGGCCGCGTCGAGCATGTTTTGGCCTTCATCCACGGCGTTCTGGGCGAAAAGAGCAATCGAGTACAGGAGTTTTGCCTGCACGCCCGAGGGAGTAGGCTGGCTCGCGTCGGCCAGTTGGCGCAATGCACATTGGCGCAGCTCGTTCCGCTGGGCCGTCTGGGAAAAGCAGCCGCCGACGTAGTGCACGACGGCCTTGAGACAGCACGGGTAGTGGTGGTCCCAGTACATGTGCCTGGGGACGAGGATGGGGTGGCTGGCGTGGAAATTGACATAGTAGAGATCGACGAGCTGCTCATCATCGGCCCAGGCTGGGGGCGGCCCGCTGTGCAGTAGCAGCGGGTCCTCGGGGCTGGCTAGGGGCATGTCCTGAAAGCATGGGGTATCGGTAGTAGCTGGATCCAGCGGCAGCGGCGGCGCATCACAGAGGGGGGGAAACAGAGGTGGCGTGGCAGTGGACGACGTGTAGGGCCTGGCTTCAGCCAGAGTGGTCTGGCTGGTGTTGATGCTGGAGCTGGCACACGACGGTACCAAGCGCGCCGCGCCACGCCGGCGGCCACGGGCAGACTGCTTGTAGGTGCAGGCATATCCGCGGGCCTTGCAGCGGTCACACGTGGGCCTGCCCCCGTCGCACTTGAGATGGGTGCGGCGGCACTCGAGGCAGGCGAGCGGCGCTGGTCGGGCGTGGGGCGTGGGCGCCGATGGCGGCATCGCATGTGCGGGCGGGTGTGGGGATGGAAACCAGCAGGCTGCAAGTAACGTGATGGTGGTCGAGGTGGAAAACGGATGGACGGATGGATTGGATGGGATTGCATGTGGATGCGGCGTGAAACGAAGACGCCGAAAGCGCATCACGGAAAGGAAATGCCAACGACGCTAGCCGGCCCTTTTGGCTCCCATGCGCGGAGTCGCCGAGGCAAGCGCGCCCTTCGCCGACCTGCCAGCTGATGAAGCACTTCTTCGCCCGTCGTCGCTCGCCCCGGATGTGCCCGGCATTGACGAGCACAGAATTCTGAACGCAGTGCCCAATGCCATTGTCGCCCTCGTACATCTCTTCAGTAATCAGGCGCTTGTTGTGGCGTGGATGCTGGAGCTGATGTAGCCATGGGGTATATGAATATACCATGGCTCGGGCCACACTCCAACCGGCGTATCGCGGCATTTCTGGTAACGATAATAGAAGCTTCGTCGGTTCCTCAGCTGGTGAAATGGACGGGGATGGATATTGGATGATATGCATGCATGGATGGATGTATGGTTTGTGGTGCTACCTGGAGGTGCAATGATGCTCGGGAATACTATCATAGCACGCTGATCGCGGGTGACCTTGCCTAATCAGTGCTAGTGTGATACTAGCGTGGTGGGCCGAGTGTCTGATCCATGAGATGCTACCAAGTCAACTACTGACCTACCTACGTACTATTACTCTACATGAGCTCTGCTTGAAGCAACAAGGAAAATTTGACGGGGCTACAAAAGGCGTTGGTGTATGGGAGAAGCCGCAGAATACGAACTAGGCTCTGAAACAATTAGGAGGCGTGAGGAGCCAAGCATGCCCCAAAGACTGCTTGAAAAACGAGGCACACCACAAGGCTATATGACGACAACTCCTATTTCAATTCTATAGTTAGGTACAAGTGCGTGTTGGCCGAAGTATAGCATACACAATCGCAACACAAATCGCTAAATATGATTATGTAGTCTTGTTTGTGGGATATTACTTTTGCAGAGGCCGCGCGAACGACGTGCTTCGCAGCACTCTTGGTGGACAAGAATAGTCGAGTAAATCCGCCCCCCCCCCCACACCATAACGGCGCAACATGTATCATCTAGCAGCGTAGTCTACAATGTTATGAAAGACAAGAAATCTATTTAGATACGAATAAAACTCTATGTAATATACAGAGTAAATAAACCCAAGTGCGTAGCCGTTCTAGCGGTAGCGGGTGAAGCCGCAGCTTTGTTTCTGGTACGTAGGGCGGTTTTGCTTCGAGCATTTTTGTCCACCGGGAGCCGCTGCGTGTCGGGTGTAGGCCAAGGGAGCCTATCAGCATCCATGCGCAGAATGTCCCTCATAGGCATGCCCACCAATATGTGCACTGGGTGTTCTCAGGCCAACATGAAGTCCTTCCATTTATTCCAGTATCATCGTATTTCCCTGGCCCACCGCTGCAGCACCAGTAGTCAGGATCTCCATATTTCACTTTATCAACTGTGCAAACATTGCTGTGACATGTGCCCGAACCGTGGCAGTGTAGATTTCGACCAGCGAGAGGTTGCAGTCTGGCGTCATATCTTGCCAGAACGCACGATGCGAAGAGAGCCATGTGGAATATCTCGGTGCGCATGATTGTGAATGCAACGAGAAACTGCCTCGAGTGATTGGTACAGGCCCGCAATGTAGTGCAGATAGGTGAATAATGAGTGGTGTTCAAATCGATGAGTGGTGTTCAAATCGATGAGTGGTGTGTAGATGGGTGAGTTAGTGTGTGAGTATAAACAAGTCTTCCAAGCTTGCTAGAACCAGCTTATATATGTAGACATGTAAAAGTATACTAGTCCCAGAGGATATCGCATACGCTGACAGTAAGACCTAGCCATTATTCTACACGGAGGTGCCTTCTAGAAGCCCTTGCCTGGCTTGCCGGAAACCGTGTGAAGACACTTCCCGATCAGCATCACTGTCCGGCAGTCCTACCCACTTTGCCTACGCTTGCTACCACCGTTTAAGCTCGATAACCCGCTTAACACTGAATCCACGCCAGCACCTGCTTCCCAAGACAGTTTCACTCCAGCGCTGCTGCTACCTCCGACCTCCCTCTGCTCTGTTCCCCTCGCCTGGCATCGACACATCTCAACTATTGGTACTATCTACCATAATCAATACATGTGTTAATTTAAGATGCATGCGCTAATAGCGTTATACGATAGAGGCTAGTCTCAAAGCTATGCAATGTGAAACATGCGATTGTGAAATCATGGTACGATCATTGAGTGAGGCCATGCGGCCAGACAGATACGCAAAAAAATACGAACTCCGTCGTACAGCTGCCGTTCTATCCACAGTCAGCACAGCTTATTAATACCGTTACTACGTCTTATTAATAGAAATAAGAGTACGCTAGCAACCTCGATCTTGACTCATGCGGGGTCTCGACTCAGGGCCTCTTCGCTTCTCCCCATCATGATTGCGGTTACGATCACGGTCCGCTTTCCAACGGCTGCCGAAAAAATGGTCAGACTAGTCAGGCTAGTCATGCTAGTGCATTCACTGCACACAGAGCAAGTGTATCGCTTGAGCATTTTTGGTTAGATATATAACTAATCAATACTTAATCCCGTCACCTCTCGGACGTCTGGTCAACAAGAACAAGGTCTCCCCTACCACAACTTGTTACCTATCCCTTAAAATCATGGCTGCAGAATTAAACTTTGCGATTAATTAGACTCCGTCAATCACGGCGCATGCGATTATGTGAAGTGTATGCTATTGTTGATTGGTTCGAGGAGACATAAAGGCCGAGCAGAAGGCCTCACTTTCTATCAAATTTTCGTTTCCGTAGCTCTATATACTGTTTTGCAAGTCTCCTGAGAGGGCACGCGGAGATTACATATAGGCCGCGTGCAGGTCACGTGCTTCCAGCCGCATCGTCCAGTAGGATCGAACAGAGTCCTTGAACTCCATTCACATTTTACTCGCGCCACGCGCCAACCGGAGGTTTGGCCAGGAGCAGCCTATTTGACGGATTCCTTGCGGCTATGCCTATCCAGGCAGGCGGTGTAACAGTCCAAAGCTAACAATGCCACGGAATCTTGAGTCGTAACCAGGACTACGTGGAGGGCATCAACGGTAAATACTCACATACGAGGGTGATGCTAGCCAGCGCTATTGCAAGTAAAAAGAAGAATTTTTTCTCAATTTAGAAAGAAAGGCCAAAGACCAGCCCATGTCTATATCAGAAGGTGATAAACACCGCAAAGTAGTTTTCACATGAGCTTGTTTTATATACTTGCAGCTTGCATGTACAATGACCAAGCCGAGTATATGATAAATAGTATCATATGTTAAATAAAGAATTACTAAAGAAGAGAGCAAGAGATGCTTCTTATCTGACTTGGTCAAATCTTCAGCACGTGCAATTGACATTACAACTAGCCACGTGCGCTCACAAAGGCAAAGTTTTGAACACGAGGCCCAGCCTGTCACACGTACTCGAATTTCTAACCGAGTTATCCTGAACTACTTCCAGTCTCGCTTAGAACTTAATTAGAATTCGTCAAGATGGAACTAAACTTTATTTTCCACGTGGATTTTTAAATTTTTTTCCAGAATAAGCGTTCAATAAAGTATAAATTCTTCTGCCGTGTATGGTGGGGGGCCAGACTCAGGGAGCGCTATACTTGGGCAGCTCTACACCTACTCTACTTACCTATAACTATAAATACTTACCACGCTCCATGCTACAGAAAAACGTGTCACACATCTCGACTATAATGCAAGCTGGAATGACCACAGCTTTGGGTACCGCGCCGGCATCACGTCGGTCTTAACTTCCGCTATACGATGGACTGGTCATCGTTATAACAGGTGTCTAACAACACACGGTATGGTATCATGGGCCGAGATGACTGCCGTTTGTTTTATCGGGCACCACGCAAACCACGCCCAGGACCAACCAGCTTCGGTATATGAAGCCATTGACGGCATGTCTACATAATCCTCTATTGTACGCCTAGACGGCTTGCCTGCAGCCGCGGATCCACAGCTACCACACTTCCGCGACCCTACGCCACAGCCCTGGGCCAGATATCCGACACAGGACATGGCCGAGTCCAGGAACTGGGCCTGTCCGCCTCCTCTTATCTTTCGTACGCCGCGCTTTGCACTGCCCAGAGCGTAGGCGCGCAAATCATAGCCTGTTGCAAAACATGAAGGTGCCGTTCCACCCGATGATGTCTTGGCAGCCAAGACGCGCCTCCGCACCCTTGGCTCCTGGTCCACCTACCATTCACCTCTGGGAGCCTATTATACTCGGCTCTGGGTAGTGTTTCCAGCCACACGCGTGCGCAGGAAACACCCTGGCACATGGCACTGCATCCGAATTGGCGTGGGAGTGAGGTTCTTGATTCAGTGCTGGATGCACGGTGACGCGCGCCATGGCCCTGCTTTTGGATCAAGAATGCTGGGCTCAAGAAGTAACTATTAGCCCATTTCCCATTCACTTATCATAATCTTGACAATTGGTCTGTTATCTCTAACTTTTCCACTGCTTGGGTTGCTCTTCTCACTACCCAGCTTTCCATGATCCAGTTTTCCCCGGCCACATTCTCCACACTGCCTCCCTGAGTGCGCACAACAGGCTCCTTTAACTATCATGAACACCGTACGCAGGGTCTTACGGGCCATGTTCCCACCGCCACGAGTGGCGCCTGATGGTCGTGCTGAATGGCCTTCTCGGACACCCTACGTTCTGGCTTCCATGGGCGGCGCAATGGGATTCGGTAACCTTTTGCGTTTTCCTTCTCAGGTCTTCAATAACAACGGTATCCAATGGTTCATACCATATCTCATGGCTATTGGTCTCCTCGCCATCCCCGCTCTTGTTCTGGAGGTTGCGATAGGGCAGGCTTATCGCAGCGGCTGCGTCATAGCCTATAATGGCCTTGACCGACGTTTTGCTGGCGTTGGCTTCGGTATAGTCTGTGTCGGTTACGCTGTCGCCGTTTACTACATTCCCATCCTCTCCTGGGTCATGGTGTACTTCCGCAACTCTTTCCAGTCAGCCGACAACTTTCCATGGAACGATGATCCGCAGGCATACTTTGACCATGTCGTCAACACGGTGCCTGCAATTCCAGCTGAATACAGTGGCGGCTCAGTGACCAGATACACCGTTTACCCTGGTACAAGCCTGGATGGAGAACTGGTTGGTTGGGTTCTGTTCTCATGGTTCGTTGTGTGGATATGTCTCTACAAGGGCGTCGCTATCACCGCGCGCGTTGTCTACATCACCATTGTCCTGCCCATTGTCCTCACTATCATCCTTGTTGGCCGCGGGGCTTCGCTGCCCAATGCTGGCCGAGGAATCAAACTGTACTTTGGCGAGTTCAACGGCGGCCAGCTCGCATCCGGAAAGATCTGGCAGGCAGCCTGCAGCCAGGTCTTCTACTCGACAGGTGTCGGTTTCGGCTACTACACCGCATACGCGTCTTACAACTCCAAATTTGCGGATGCTGTTCAAGACGCCATCATGATCTGCACGTCCAACGCCCTGTTTGAGTCTTTTGCGGCATTTGCCGTCTTTGGTGTTGTCGGTTTCATGAACATGCAGCCGGGTCAGGGCGACCCCGTTGGCACCTATACCCTTGGTTTCCACACCCTCCCGAGCGCCATTCGGGAAATGCCAGGCGCACCGTTCTGGGCAGTGCTGTTCTTCTTGACCTTATTCCTCCTCGGTATCAGTTCATCGTTTGCCATGCTAGACGCCATGATCACGACCCTTTGCGACACCCACTGGGGCCGGAAATACAAGCATTCGACCATCGCCACTATCGTTACCGTCATTTCAGCTCTCTTGTCGCTGTTCTACTCGACTGAATTTGGCTACGAAGCTACCAACTGTGTCGATGCTTGGATCAGTAACATTTCACTCATTATGGTTGTGTGGGCCGAGTGCGTCTGCGCCACTTCATTCTACCGCTACGTCGATGTCATGGGTCAGGTGGGCGCACCCGCTTTCTGGATATATCAGTGTACCTATATCGGGGCTCAGGTCATCGGCAATGTCGTTGCGCACACTGTTTCAGATAAAGCTGGTGCCGGAGCTGGATTCGCGGTCTATATCGTTGGCACAATTGTTGCTACTCTCATCGCGAGAGATCCGACTGTTCCTGCACCAAAGTTCTGCGGGCGCAATAAGTTCTTGAACCGCATCTGGTGGTTTGGACTGTATTCGGTAAGTAGAAGGCAGCTTCATTAGTGTACGAATGTGCTTCTGACATCTTCCAGGGTAACCAACTCGCGCGAGACCTCAACTACGTAGTGTGCGTTGGCAAACAGTGGCGTCTCCCTGTATTCTGGGCGCCCACCCTCCGCTACTTCGCCGCGCCAGTTCTCTCCATCATCTTCGCCTTCGCCTACCCCTCATTCTACGCTGTTCGTGGTGACCCGCTCCAGATTTTCGGCTTTGCAGTCGCCCATCTTATCGTTCTCGTCGCCATAGTCGGTTTCATCGTACCCAAGAGCATGAACATCTTCATTCCACCGGAGCGCCGCGAGGAAGGGAACAGACAGTATGCACCACAGACTCTGCTAGGAAAAGACGACACGAACATTGTTGGTGGTGTGAGGCCCAGCCAAGGAGAGGAGGCTGGCTTGTCACCAGTTGACAGTACCGAAAAGACGGAAGAGAAGTAAGTCGCACGTGAAACAACGTCTGAATAAATTGGATTAACGTGACGGATAAGCGAGTCGGTCAGACAAGCGAGTGGGTCACCCTACCAACTTTGATCACCCACCACACCTTTGCGTACAATGCCTCTAAGCCACGCTTCTTAGTTAATCTCTCACGAGGCAGATATTCAGCTTGCTCTCTCTTCTTTAGATAGAAACCAAATCTAAAGTACCTAACGCGCTGCTATAGCCTTTAATATTCTAAAATTAACACTAATTGACTAACGCGCTAGAAAGCGCGCGCAACGCGATTGCCAGCCCAACTCAAAGAAGCTTACCAAGCTAGAAGAGGAGGTAATAGTTAGTCATATACTTAATCTTGACTCACGTGGATTTGCGCCCACGTACGCCGCTATACGCGATATGGCTAATAAGCTGCTAGCTGCGCGCGGCGCTAGCTAGGTTAGGCAGAAGTGGCCAGCTAACTTTGTCAAGCGTATAGACAGTCTTACAACGCGTTTTAATTAAGCGTACAATAGGCAGAGAGCTCTATGTGAAGATCTAGTCCTAATTAAGAGCTAGTTTAAGCTTGTAGAGCAGACAAAGGCCAAGTACAGCATCTATAACAAGGACGTCTACAACTTCAACGAAGCTGGCTTTATGATAGGCAAGATCGCGACTTAGCTAGTCGTAACAGCGTCAGAGAGGAGAGGCCAGCCAAAGGCAGTTGAGCCAGGCAATCGTGGGTGGGTGACGCTGATCGCAGCGATTAACGCAGCTGGCTGGGCAGTTCCACCATTCCTCATCTTCGCTGGCAAATATCATCTATCCGCCTAGTACGAGGAAGCAGAGATCCCACGCGACTAGGCGATCGCAGTTAGCGACAACGGCTGGACGAACAACGAGCTAGGTGTTGCCTAGCTAAAGCACTTTAATGCTCACACAAAGACTCGCGTTGTTGGCACACGTCGTTTGCTTATTCTTGACAGCCATAAGAGCCACCAGTCTCTTAAGTTTCAAGAGCTTTGCAAGGAGAACAATATCTACACGCTCTGTATGCTGCCACATTCCTCTCACCTACTTTAACTTCTTGACGTTGGCTGCTTCTCGCCGTTGAAGCGCGCGTATAGCTGTAAGGTAGAGAGCCTAATACGTAACCACATTAACTACATTACTAAGCTTAAGTTTCTGCTAGCGTTTAAGATAGCGTTTAATTAATCCTTTACGCTAGCTAATATCCGCTTAGCCTTTCAAGGCGTAGGCCTTGTTCCTCTCTAGCTAGACGCTGTTCTATCAAAGCTGGACATAAAGCTGCGCACGCCTACTACTCTAGTAGCTACTGTTGCAGAGGCTCTCTAGCAGGCTCGTACCCCAAGTAACGCACGTGAGTTTGAAGCTCAATTAACGCTAATACGTGATCAGGTTTGGCGGCATAAGAGCTCTTCGCTAGCATTAATTATTGCAGCAATTAACTAGCTTAAGAAGGGGGCTAAGGTTATAATGCTCTTAGCTAAGCTAATACGCAATTAGATTACTAGCCTTAAAAGGGCTAACAAGGCAGCAATAAAGCGTAGGCAGCGTAAAAGGAAGCGGATATAGAAGCAAGGAGTGCTAACAAAGGGAGCTAGAGAGGATCTACTCGCTTAGCGCGAGGCTAATTAGCAGATTGCTCATGAAGAGCGTCAGGGAGGAGAGCGATTAGGTGTTAGCCGCCAGGCTCTAGCGCGCTGTAGTAGGTGCAGAGAGACTGGCTATAACTTACGTACATGCAAGAAAGATAGTCTAGATAGTAATTAATCTATTGCGTTAATATCTACTAAAACTAATATAATATGGTGGAGCTATACGCTTATATTATTCTAGTTTAACGTCCTTTTTCAGCCCGAAGGGCTATATAAGACGTGTAGGGTTTTTAGGCCTACAAGTATCTAAGTAGGTTGTTTCTAGCTACAATATTTAGGAGGGGTTTTAACTAGATAAAGGTAAGGCTCGTAGCCTATTAATTAGTAGGTAGGGGGGGATAGGGTAGGGGAGGTGTATGGCTACCTGTTACAGGTATTACTCCTCGTTTTCTGTGTTTCCTTTGTACCAGGCTTGTGTCCCAGCCTTTGTTTCTTGAATAAAGGTAATAGTTGCTTCTATACCCTCTTTTGTTTGAAGGAGGATAGGTAGTGATAGGTCGCCTTCGCAAGCTTCTCTTAGTCCTTTCCTTTCCTCTCTATATAGATTACATCTAAATAGAATATAAGGTAGGTCTTGTATAGACCTATAGTTGCAGGGGCAACTATTAGAATCCACTTTCCCTCTCTTATATAGGTAGTCCCTTAAGTAACAGTGCCCTAGTTTAAGTTAGTAGAAAGCGCTAGAAATCTCTCTTCTAGTATTGCTAGGAATAGCGATTTGCTTTCTTATCTTCTACTTGTATTTTGCTGCGTACGTATGTGGATTCTTGCTAGTGGCTTTTTTCCTATACTGTTCAAGTTGGCTTAGCCATTCTCTCTCTCCTAGCTGCTTAATTCGCGAGCTAGTAATAGCTAGGCTAGTTTTACTAGTAGAGGGAGGGTCTAGCTCAGTAGCTTCTTTAGCTAGGGCGTCTGCTTTTTCGTTCCCAGGGATGTCTTGGTGGCCTGGTACCCAGTAGAGGCTAGGGCGTATACCTATCTCCTCTAGTTTCTTTGTTGCCTTTATACATCTAATTTGCCATTCTT